GCGCAAAAAGGTGATGCTCGTTGTCTAAACCCCTCCCTCCCCCTGAGTTCGCCCCGAATCAACACCTTTCACCTTCCTCGCTGCCCGCTTCAGCCACTTCAAGTCACCGATCCATGTCCTTGACCTTACCTGGATCTGTTTTTGTGAGCCGGCGTGAGCACGGACCACACGCTCACGCCGCGCAAAAATGTTCCGTGCTTTCACTTACCTTCCTTCCCCCCTGAACCGCCCTGATTCGGCCTGAACCCCCCCGAACCGCTCCAAGTCACGCATCCATGTGTTTGACCACTCCCTCCCGCCACGCAAGAATGCACCATCCCTGACCCGCTGTGATCAGCCCTTCAACCGCTCTGAACCGCAGCACGCTGCACTGAACGGCCCTCCAACCGCCCTGTACCCACACGGTCGCACCTCCCTCCCATCTTCCAGCTCCATCCTCCCACCCGTGAAGCCTCTTCAAGTCACGCACGCGGCACGCATGTGCTTGCCCACACCCTCACACCACACCACACCACACCACACCACACCACTCCACACCACTCCACACCACACCACACCACACCACACCACACCACACCACACCACCACACTTGACACCACCAACACAAAGTGGCCTTTAGTTACCTCCTTACACCACTTAGTGGCATCAGCCTTGCCCTGAACTGCCACATAAGTACATGCTGTTCAACACACACAAACATGCCTGCACTCATACACACTCTCATGCATGCACACACACACACACCTGCCATCCACACATATGCATGCCCTCACGCACATGTGCATACCTACACACGCACCAACATGCGCTTTCGCGCTTTCACATCCCCACGTGCGTGCATACACACTCACACGCATATTTGACGCACGCATGCGCGTGCAGACACACACACACACGCACACACACACACACGCACGCACACACACACACACACACACACACACACACACACACACACACACACACACACACACACACACACACACACACACACACACACGTGCGCTCACAGGCCCACATGCACGCACCCGCACCCTGTATCGCCAGGCCAAGTTGGAGCGTACGAAGGCATACAAATTACACGCTCGTGCAGCGCAGACACCCTTTATTATTGCCAGGGCATGGTGGAGCATAGGAAGGAGTACAAATTCCACCCCATCGCTTTGGATGAATTTCTTTTCTTCTGATATTTTTCGTTGCTTTTGAGAGTTTTAAAAAGGGGGGGGGGGGGGGACGAGAGTCTTACATAGAGAGGGAAAGAACATCTACTCACCTGCTCGCACCCTGTATTGCCAGGCCAAGGTGGAGCGTAAGAAGGCATACATGTTCCACCGTTTGGTCGCCTTACGCGTCCCCTCCCTCCCCCCACATGCCCCATACCATACCGCCAGGCCAAGGTGGAGCGCAAAAAGGCATACAAGTTCCACCCCGTCGGCCTCGCTGTCTCATCCAACGAGTCTGCTTCTCTCAGCAGCTTCAAGGTGTGCCTCGCTGCAAGGTGACTCGTTACAAGGCGAATTGTGACAAGGTAATTCGTTGCAAGGGGACTCGACGCAAGGTGACTTGTTACGAGGTGATTCCTTACAAGGTGATTCGTTGCAAGGTGACTCGTTGCCTCGTTACAAGGTGACTTGTCGCCTCGTTACGAGGTGACTTGTTGCAAGATGACAAGTTGCAAGGAGACTCGTTGCAAGGTGACTCGTTGCAAGGTGACTCGTTGGGTGGTACTGGTGATAGGATCAATAGCAATATGTTTTCTTACAATGGAACTTGCTTCAGAATCAATAGCAGGGAGCATGTCTTCATACTCAGCATGCCCGATCCTGACTCACTTTGCCCGATTCTTGCTCACCATGCCTGGTTTTCCCTCACCATGCCTTAGTTTACTCACCATTCCATTGTTTTGCACACCGTGACTTCCAATTCTCAACCTTGCTGCTTCCATGTGCCATAAGTCAAGGCCCTTGTTCTTCTCAGCCTGCTATTCTCGTTGTTGCAAGAGCTCGCAAATACAACACCATCCTGTCGATCGTTTTGAAGCTGCGCCTCAGAAACAGCGGCTTCCCTTTGCCCCTCTGTGCGTCTTCAGGACCTCACAACGATGCTAGGCAATTCCTTAGTGGACATATCCATGGCAGACTGCGTGTGGTGCAAATACAACTCCATCCCGCCGTTCCTTTTGAGGCTGCGCCTCAAAATCAGCCTCTGGTTGCCTCACTTTTCCTCCCAGTGCCCCCCTGTGCGTCTTCAGGATTTGAAACGGTGCTAGGTCACTCTTTCGTGGACATATTCAAGGTGGATTGCGTGAGCTGTGAATACGTTATACATCCAATCCATCCATCCTTTTTTAGGCGCCTCTAAAACAACCTTCGTTGTCTCCCCTGTGCTTCTTCAGGACCTTACAACGATGCTAGGTCACTCTTTCGTGGACATATTCAAGGTGGATTGCGAGAGCTGTGAATACGACGTCATTCCGTCCATCCTTGATGGTTACACCACGCCACCCTTTGGACAGGTGCCGCACTGCTGCTTAGAGAGTAATGGGAAATGGCATTCATAGGCATGCATGTATGTACACACGCACCCTGCTCACTCATTCACTAACACACGCACGCATGTAAGGCGCACGTGCTGCGCGTGCGAGCACGCGCGCGCACACACACACACATGTACCTTATGCGTCTCGTATGTCTCAGGCGACCTTGGTCAGAGTCTCAGCTACTCAATTCAGGGTTATTGCCTGCCACCACCCCACAGCCCCTCCAGTACCCTCCTCTTAACCCCTGAGCTTCTTTCTTTCCCCCCATTTAGATGTGCTTTTTCTGAACTGACAGGATCACACACCCTTTTGTTTGCCCCTTGTGCTCTTTTCTGTTCTCCAGCTGCTGATTGAGATTCATGATTTAGACCGATCAAATGCCGATCGTCTAACGAGATTTCTTCACAAGATCGAATTGCACGGTTACCGCATGTTCCACATTGAACTAAATTGGAGGCAGCTCATGTCCCTGGAAGCTGCATATATCCATGAGAGCTTGTGTTAGTGTTATGTTAAAGGACCATATACTGTATTCCATGCTTCTTGTATTTTTATTGTTATGATGTAAGATGCGACCATGTGCACTTCTCAGTTCAAGTTTAGTATGCCTCCATGCAATTCCCTCTCAACTCTTCAGTCATGGGCTCAGTTTGAGTAAAAACTACTTGGTGGTCCAATTCTTAGAGCTATTGTATGAACTACACTGTTATGCTATACCTGTGGGAACAGGTCGTTAGCGTGGTGTAGAAAGCACCAGTGTTGAGGCAAATGTGGACATCCTAGCTGCAAAGCACAATCTTTTGAGTGGCTGAGAGAAAACCGGAAGCTACGTACAAGCATTACTGCTTTGCATAAATTGCTGATGCAGCGTCGGCGGGTATTGGTTCCTCAAGCGTGACTCTGACAGCATGCCCTTGACTGGCCACGTGTCTTTCTGTCGCGAGTAAGGACACGTCTAGTTGACTAGGAATTGGCGGGAAATCTTTGTGATGCCACAAGTGACCTCATGATGGTGGTCGTGGCTCGGTTCGTTGACACCTATTGCCATGGGTCGTTCCGAGGATGTGCTGTGTAGTGTAGGTGACAGCCGCATCTTGCGGACAGATCCTGGGAGGATATGCGTGTGAAACAAGAGTGGACACACCACGGCAACGGCGCGCTTACTCCCATGGATGTGCACTTTGCCAATTTACGTGGAGGCCATCACATTTGCCTGGACAGCACAGCAGAAGGCAGTGCGAGCAGTGGTTCCCCTTGATTGCGGCGAATATGACGCGACAGCCACGGCGTCGCAACAGTTTCATCGCCTGCCATTTTGTAACCAGTCGCTTCCACTTTGGGGCGTTGATCCCGCAATCTTGGTGCGACAAAGTATGCGCGTGCCACCCTCCCTGCATCTGTGAAAGTGAGATCGAGTCGCTGAATACAGAAAACATAATTTCCTTTTAGCTGCCCATGTAGCCACCGCGACCCCCTTAACCCAAACCCAGCACAGAAGGTTCACTTTCATGCTGCCCGTTGAACTCGCAGTTTGGCACACAAGGCGGCCGTCAGCTGCCGTCACTCAGCCCCCGATCTCGCGAATCCCATGCTCGCTGGATTCGAAGTTCTGGTTCTGATTGGCGATGCGCGTTTCAAGGCGAATCGCTTGCATCCTTCCCGCCTGGTCGCAACGTTTCGCCGACAACATTCGTCCATTTCTCGTCTATCATCATTTGCAAGCTTTTATGCAACGCCATTGGCCTATTCTCAGCACATTTGAGCTTCGGCAGCACTCTGACTTGTAATCCCGCAATTTCGACCTGGAAGTCCGTGCCAATTCCGTCGCTCGAAACGTCGTGCGATTCGAGCTTCCGCCGCAGGGAGTCCCTGTCCAGTCGCCGCTCCTTCACGCCGTCGCATGCGACTACTTCGCGACGACCTTCCTCTCTCTTTCTCAATTGTGTGACTCGCACTAACTCGCTCCGCCCCCTCTTTTCCCTCCATACTCGGCCCTTTTCGCTTACTTGATCTTCATTTCTCTACGCTGTGCCTGAGAGGACCTAAGCTGGAATTTCGCCGTTGCTAGCGCCGCAGCACACCAACCAACAACCATCGGCGTCAAGCCGTGCTTGGATTAGAAAGCGTCATCTCTCATATTGACGTTTATTCCGCGAGTTGCTGCATCTGATTGCAATTCTTCCTCAGCTATCTCAGCTGAACCCTCACCGACAAGCACGTCGCGTCTAGTGGCCTCTCTCAGCCAGAGGACTCATCGTGCCTTTCGTGGTGTACGCGTTTATCGTCGGGGCCTTTAAGTTCCTCGCTTGAGCTCTCGTCCACCCCAGAAAATCTGTCATTCGCAGCTTGGATCTTATCCTTTCATTCCTTCGCTTTCATCCAACCCGTTCCGAATCGGCCAATCATTCTAGTCTCATAGAGCCACCTCTCTCCGTGACTCTCTCTCACTCGTCTCCAGCCATGGCGCTCTCGCACTCGAGTCTACTCAACCTCATCCCCGCTACTAAATCATCCGACTCCGTCACTGGTGGTACATCATCAGCGGGATCCATACCATCCGGCCGACTACTACCTTCGTCCACCATCTCCTCTAGTCTTCGTCATGTGCTAACTCCCTCCCAATCCTTATCTTCTGCTTCGCATAATGCCGCCTCCTCGCTCTTCCCCTCGCCTCTGCACTCGTTTCACCACGTGTCGCTTCCGCGCACCACCACCGCCGGGGCTGCGCCGGCTGCGCTTTCCGCGCACCCGCGTGCCATGCTCCCACAAACCTCCCCATTTCCTCAAGCCTCACGGGCGGCCTCCGCGTCGCCTGATCAAGTCGCACTCGCAGCGTCCGCGGCGCCGACAAGCATTTTGCGTTCCGATAAAGACGCGCAGTCGTTTTCCAACGCACCGCAGCTTAAAGAGCGCAGCGCGCAGGTTCTTTCGGAGCTAAGGAAAGCATCCGCCGCTGTTACGGTGTCCACCGCGTTTGCGCTTTCCGCGGGTTGCTGCGCGCCAGGCGCGGCGCTTGCGCTGGACCAACTCCCCCCTCCCGTTCCGCCTTCAGAGTATCACGTCGCCATTTCGACGACAGACAGCGCCGTAAAATCCGGTCTACTTGCTGACGAGTTTATCTCGCAACTAGAGTCTATACCTTCCGCTCCTGCACTTGCCACGTCAGCATCCCCAACCCCGGCGTCATTAACGCGCCAGGTTTCACTGACATCCGCGGGATCCTCGGGCAGAGTGGTCTCGCCCGAGGCGCAGGAGGAGGCGAAGGCAATGCTAGTGCGACAGCTGGAGGAGCAGGATAGGCTGAGAAACGCTGAAGAGCGGATGTGCGACGCGGTTCTGTCGCCCGTGAAGCAGGGCATCGCAGGTCCCGACTCCTCCTCCTCGCCGGGTCGCTCGCGCTCCGTCACCTGGGCCGACTGCGCCGCGGACTTCCCGGCTGACGTCATGGTTCCGCTATCGCTCTCACCCGGCGGGAGCTTCAGCGGTGCAAGCGGAGACGGCGGAAGCGGGAGCGGAATGCGCAGCAGCAACGGGTCGATCGTGGCGGAGCCCGCAGTGTACATGGGACCGGTTGGGGGGGGCGCGGCGGTGGCTTCCGCCGCCATGGGCGGAGTTGCGACGGGCGGCCCGATCGCCGCAACTGAGGTGTCGTTCGCGGGAGCGGCGGCGGCGAGCCTGACCTTGGAAAGCGCCGCTGCTGCTGCCATCGCCAGCTCGTCTGGAGGTAAGCATCTCCTGTAATATGCGTAACATGTGATGTAACCCGCGTTTCGCATCTTCCGAACTCCCCCCCCCCTCTATTCGGCCCCCGTCCCCCCTTTTCGAGCCACTCGCCCGCTTCTTTCTGGGCCGTTGCCGCCTTTCCCCACTCACTCATTCCCCTTTTTTACGCGCTGCTTTCCCCGCGCTTTCTCTCCCCGCAGGTCTCTCCGCGAAGCTCGCGGCGATCATGGGCCAATCGCTGCAGCATTTCGGCGTCGGCGGAGTGGCGGGCGCAGTGGGCGCAGCGGCGGTGTACCCCTTAGACACCATCAAGACGCGCATGCAGGCGCAGCGCAAGATCAAAGAGGCAGATTCGGATTCAGACGACTCGGGTCGAGACGGCGCGATCGGCGCGAACGGCGCCCAATTCCACTCCGCGGCCGGATCGTCAACGTCAACGTTAGCGTCTGCGTCACCGTCTCTGTCTCCGACGCAGACGCACGTGCAGTACCGCGACGAGTGGGACTGCTTCCTCCGCATGGTCCGCGAGGAGGGCCCCGCGGCTCTTTACAGCGGGCTCGGCGCGCAACTAGTCGGAATCGCGCCGGAAAAGGCGATCAAACTGACCGTCAACGAGGTCCTGTTGGCCATGCTCGAGTCGACTATCCCCGGAACGCGTCTGTGGGTCCTCGAGATCATCGCGGGCGGCGGCGGCGGGTTCTGCCAAGTGGTGTTCACGAATCCCGTGGAAATCGTCAAAGTTCGCATGCAGGCGCGTAAAAAGCTCGCGACAGGGTCGTCCGCGTCGTCGAGTGATTCGGAAGCGGAGGGCGCGGTAACTTCCGCCTCCGCCGCCGCCGCCGGCGCGAGCGGAGCGGTAGTAGCGGAGCCGCAGCAGCAAAAAGGGAAGACGTCGTGGCAGGTGGTGCAGGAGCTGGGTATTCGCGGGTTGTACAGCGGTTCGAGCGTGACTCTAGCGCGCGACGTGCCGTCGACCGCGCTCTTCTTCGCGTGCTACGCGGCGCTGAAGCAGGTGATGCCCGATCAGACGTTCATCGACGGGTGCCTCGCCGCGGTCCCCGCCGCCTACCTCGTGACGCCTATGGACGTAGTTAAAACGCGCATGCAAATGGAGCCCGAGGAGGGGAAGGAGACGTACCCGAACGCGTGGGTGTGCGTTAAGGAGATTGTGGAGGAGGAAGGGCTCGGCGCGCTGTTCAAGGGTGGCATTGCGCGCGTGCTGCGCATGAGCCCGCAGTTCGGAATCACGCTCATGCTGTACGACATGCTGTCGCAGTAACGCGGACGGGGTGTACTACTGTAGTCGTCATGCTCCTGCTCCTCGCCAACTGACTCTCCCCGATACAGTCCCATCCGATCAACGCCTCGCCTCTCCGAGTGTCCTCTTCACGCCAAACCATGAACTCGCCGCTCCGCCATCGCCACCACCCCCGCCACCATTCCGCCATCCTGACATTCCGTTACCGCCTCCACTTCGCCACCCCCGTAAACCCGCCACCCCCCCCATCTCCGCCACCGCACCCAATCCCCCGTTACCCACGCCACCCCCGCCACGCCACCATCCCCGCCACCCCCGCCACCCCAGCCTTCGTTGCCACCTATGCCATGTCCGCAGTCTCTCAAGTCCGCCCATCCGCAAACCTTCCAACCCATCCGTCACGCACCCAACCATCTCTCCACCGAACCATCTCTCCACCCACCATCCCCGTTATGAAGGGCTTTCTCCAGATGGTATGTACACAAACGGATCGCAGGACCTTGCCTCAAGCATCCCCCTGTGCAGTCTAGGTTCCATGCAAGTGCACACAGTCTCTCATACACACCCGCACCGGTATCATTCCTACCTTGGAGCTTTCAGCTTCTCATTTACTGCTGATTTGGCTCGCAAGGGTACCGGTGACTAAACAGCAGCAACCCAAGTGGTGGTGGTGGTGGTGATGGTGGTGCCGGGTGCAGCAGCAGCTGGTGCTGTTATCGGTCCAGTTTCTGCTTCTGGTTATATGCACCTGGAGCAACAAAATTCGTGTACACTACTCCGCCAGCATTCATTGGTTGTGATTGTATGGAGGGGTAGTTCTGCATAGGATGATTCGTTTTCCTTGTGCGATAGTAGGGCATGTGTTTCTGTCTCAACCTGTGATGTGCAGGTCAGATTAGGCCAATTTTACTTCTCCTGACACCTATTCTAGACATTTGTGTGATTCTTGCTTGATATGGGTATGTTTTTAACCAAGAAGATTCGGACCCGACTGTGATGGGCAGAGTAGCTCAATGCCATACTCATTGCCAAGATGCATCCGCCACCATCAGAATCAGAATTGTACATGTATGTTTGGAGTTGTTATGCTAGTGATAAAGGAACATAGCAGGTATGCATCCTTTCCCTAGCATTTCCTTGTCAATATTCTTACGTCCTTTTAACAAAGCTGCATAATTCCACGTTCGAACACCCGAAACACCCAGTATGTCTCTTCTTCCGCGCGCGTCTACCGATGCAACCCCAAGAAGATACCGTATGACCATGACCAGAATCCATGCCCAGAAGAGATAGCTGCGCCCTGTACGGTTTGCAGAAGCAAGTATTGAGAAAGCTTGCTTTCTTGTCCTTATAATTTGGCATCGTTCTCATTGCAACTGGCTTATTACAACATATGCATCGTTCGTAAACACATGCTAGTACATGCAAATATTACTAGCTATGGAGTCGTCCGTCCAAGCAGCTGCGGTCTTGTAGTTGGTCCGGGGTGGGTGGTGGGGATGTTGATTGAGCCGTTGGAAAACGAGAAACGTGGGTGGAGGGAATGAACTCCAACCCACGGTTTTTGTAGTTGGAGAAGGGCGTTTAGCGCGCTTCGACGCTGCCAAATATTCGGTACAGTCAGCTTCGCTTTCACAATACACAATTTTGAAAAACATCAATGTGTTTAAAAATTATAATATTGAGAAAGCTTGCTTTCTTGTCCTTATAATTTGGCATCGTTCTCATTGCAACTGGGGCCTCTGAGACATGGCCAGTGGTGGCTTGCGGTTGCGTAAGAGTGCCTCTGCGTGCTGTTCTGGGGGCAGCGCGTATGTCGGGTCCTGTAGGTCGCGGGATGCCTTGATAAGATGTCCGACGTATGGTGTGACGTACATCTCTTTGGCGGTGTCACTTCGCCACCTGCCCATCCTTTTGAAGATTCTGTCCGGCACGCCGATGTTGGCGGCTACGGTTGCCGCGCCCTTTCGGAAGGAGTGCGTGCCGAGCTGCTGCTCCCCAAGTCCTACTTTGGCGAATGCTTCTTTACACCAGTTTCGGATCGTTGTGTACGAGGGTGGCTTGGCCTGGCCCTTGTTGGCTGAAGCGTGGCTGAAAACGCGAATCAACGACCCCTCGGAATGAGGGCCATAGCCAGCGAGTTGGAGGAAGCGTTGGGTGCAGCGCACGGGGCAACAAGGGTCCGTCGTTGCGGCGATGGGAATCCAGGTTCCACGACCAGCCTGGTCCGTTTTTGAGTGTGGGATGAGGATCCACATGACTGCATCGTCGAATTGGATGTCTTGCTACTGGATGGCAACGAGGTCGGAGTATCGCAAAAATCCGGAGTACATGAGGATAGGGATCAACCCCTTCTGAAATTCAGCGGGATTGTCCGACTGCAAGTAGTTCGCGGACATGTCCCGAACTTGTTGGATTGATACGGGCTCCTTCAAACGACTAGGGCGAGGGCAGTGTCGTTTCGCGTAGTCCCGCACTTGGGTGGTAAACGGTCCGACAGTCGGGCATTTGCTTCCAGTCATGCGATGGGCGAAGCTGACTGCCGAGCACGTGAGCTGCACTACAGACAAGGTTGCTTTGCGTTGGATTGCATGCACCAAGTATAGCGCGAGGGTCATGTCGGATGCGGGAAGAAATGGAAGATCCACCTTTGTGCAGAAGGCCCGAAACTTGGCCCAGTACGGTTCGTATGTACGGATTGTCGAATTCGCTCGCGATTGTGTGAGCATGTTGATGAGTTGGTTGTGTAGCTTTGGGAGCGGACCTGGACACAAGGCGCGTACATTCTCAATTAGTCAAAAACCACCCGAAGTGCGATGATTGGGCTGTGTGGTAATCCAGTGCCTGAAAAAGCAGCGGAATGTGTTCCAGCTGCCAGGCATTGGCTGCCGTGTGTCAAGGGAATGTGCGCGTGGATGTACGGTGCCCAGTTGCGTGGGGAAGGTTGTAAAAGTGGCCACCAGTTTGCACCCGGCCAGTGTGGGATGATCAATGTGAGCGATGCACGGGTGCGCTGTGCGTGATGGAGGACGGCCGGAACTAAATGGGGCGGGGGGAACGCAAAGCTATTTTCTGATGTCCATGCGAGCGAGAATGCATCGACTGCGGTGGCTTGTGGATGAGGAATTTTAGTGCAGAAGCGTGGCAGCTGGGAGTTGCGGGAGTTTGCAAAGAGGTCGATGGAATGGGGACCCCAACGCCGTTCTAAGATGCGGAACCACGGCGTCTTCAACGAGTAGTCGTCATGATCGACTGCTTTTGAGAGCTCATCGGCGTGTGAGTTTAGCTCCCGTGGGATCCATTCGATGATTAGACGCGTGCCGTGCTCCATGCATAGTCGAATGATGTCTTGGCAGGCCGTGGTAAGGTCGGGGCTGCGCGAGCCACCTTTGCGAAGGATGAAGAAGACGCCCTGATTGTCCACCCGCACAAGAACATGTTTGTGCGTGATCTTGCTGGAGTATGTTTGGAGTGCCCAAAGCACACCTTCGATCTCCCTCCGTGTGCTGGACGTCGCTCGCAGCGGCTCTGGCATTGTTGCGCTAGCTTCTTCGAGGCCGTCAGGAAATGTGGTCAAAGTGGCGCCCCAACTGTGAGCGCTAGCATCCACATGGATGACAGCGTCGTAGCTGTTTCGAACGTGAAACGGTGCACCGTTGAACCTGTCAAACTCTTCGAGCCAGAAGTTTAGCTCCTCAGCCGCGTTTGGGGGGATGATCACGCTGCTTTTCCATGAAGGTGCGTCATTGATCACTTGTAGCATGGCGTGGCTGAAAGCACGAGCTGTTGCGCCCAGCGCGACGCCCATTGACGCGAGCATGCCTGTGATTCTGGCCACTTGGCGGACTGAGACGGGTCGACATGCCTTGCTTGCGCTCAACAGGTTCCGAATGGTTGCATGTAGTGAGGCTCGTCGTTCGGGACCGATGGTAAATCGGCCTGTGGCCGTGTCTAGCTCCACACCCAAGAATCGAAGGTGTTGCGATGGTGACAGCTGTGATTTCTTCGCATTTATCACCAAACCTGCTGCTTTAAGGTCCAGTATTACACGGTGGCAAGTAGCCTGCGCGTGAGCTTTTGACTGGCAAAGGAATAAGATGTCGTCCACGTATGGTACTACTCGGATGCCTTGCTCCCGCCAGCGACGGGCTAGCTGCTTGATGAGTTGCGTGAAGATGAATGGGGCTGTCGCAAGACCGAACGGCAATGAACGAAAGGAGTAAGTGCGCCCATCGAATCCAAAACCGAGAAACTTCCAGCATGAAGGATGGATATCGATGTGATGGTACCCGGATTTGAGATCAATAGAAAACATCCAATCCCCAGCGCGTGCCACGTCTGCCACACGGCTGAGTCCTTCGTACTTGAATTTTGGGACGATGAGGTTCGTGTTGACTTTTCTCAGGTCGAGGATGAGCCTGCATTTTTCTTTCTGCTCGACCACGTTAAGTTGGCTTATGCACGTAAGCTCGCTTGCGGCTGTCTCGACTGCAGCTCCGGTCTCTGTGAGTTCTTGGATGGCAGTACGTGTGAACGACGCATGCGCGTATGCACCAGCGTGGTTACGCTCCCGAAAGGCCTGTGGTGGGCCGTGGCTCCATGGAAGCCAGTAACCGTTGGCGATGATGGATAGGACGAGGCTGCAAGGGTACCATGAGCTCCACCACGCAAAGGTCGAGCGAAGCCGACCGCACATCCGTGTGACGGTTTTGTCCGTGACGGCGAATTCGTACGGGCCATCGTCGCGAGGCACCTCGTATTGTTGTGCTCCTGTATGTACGGCAAGGAAATGAACGCGAACAATCAGGTTGCACGCCTTAATTAGTTCATGCGTGTGACATATACATGCATGCGCGAAAAATGAACCGTCAACAGTGAGGACCATACGGACGGTTTGTCGTCATTCCATATAGGGCGTCCGATCGCACCTTGGCAAACTCTTTCTCATACTCTCTCCTTTTCCCTCCCCTCGTTTTTTTTTTTTTTTTTTTTTCTGGAGGATTGATGCTTGGGACCATGAT